CCTCAGAAGTTTGTCCTTCAGCCAACGAGTGGTGCGACCTTGGAACTCGCTACCAAGCGAGACGGTTTCCGCAACACCATTACGGATTTTAAACGAAGACGTGATTGCATAATATTTGACAAAAGGCGAATGTTACAATATGATTTCTTACGGCCAACCTTGTAAACATTTTGCTGTCTCTAGCTTGTTTTCACACTGTTTAGCAATGTTCCGCGACAACTCACTCAAATGTGTATTATGTTTATTGTTTTCAACTTCATATTGACTGTACAATCGCTTTGGCTACTTTATACTACTAGGGTCCTCAAGGGCACTTCTTGCCTGTAACCCTTCAAATACACATACATAGATCTGGGAGATAAAGTAAGGTTTCCATACTTTCGTCAATGCGTTTTTTCTCGTTTGCCTCTGAAATCTCACAGACGAAGGTTAGCAAAGTACGTCAGCTAATTCTCGAAGGGCGAATTGATGAGTTCTATCTGGACCAGGTGATTTGACAGGCTCCAGTCGGAAGAGTTCTGCCCATAAGTAGGAAGGTGAGAAGCAAAGGTTATGCGATTGTGCAAAAGAGGCAGGAGCTTGTCGTTTTGTTTTGATTTAGGGGAGGATAAGTAGGGAGTTCTGATTCATGAGTAAATACCGAGAGCAAGAAACTCAAGAAAAAACATATTTTAATTGATTTATCCGACTAAATTATGCTGTTTGGGGAGCCCCAGTGCCGGAACCGAGTCAGCATTTCGTTTTTTCTTACGTATGTAAACGTACACGAACTTGTGGTGTTCTAAAGAGTTCTGTCTTTTGCTTAGCGTATGCTTACTTGAAGGTAGATTAGCCCCACATTTACTCACAACACACTGATTTTTATACTTCCGCAAATGTTCGATACTCCCATTAGTCAAAGACTTTCCCTACATTTATTTTTGCCAGATAACTGGCATACAATAATCTTACCACTATAAGTAGAGTAGAACGAACCCAACATTCAAAATTGCCAAATATCTAGAAGGTACTCATCTTTGTATGCATAAGGCTCGTCCTAATCAACGACTGTGTCGACATTCTGAGTTGCAGCGCCATCATGTTTGCTGACGACGTCAAACTGTGGAGAGCCATCAGGTCTGACGTCGATAAGCAAGCACTTCAAGAGAGTCTCAATCAACTTAGCAGCTGGCCTGCTCGTGGGCTCTTAAGTTTCAACGTTAGTAAGTGTATGGTTTTAAGGCTCCGTACTATAAAGACCAATGAGGAGGATGATTCTTTTCAATACGTCCTCGATGGGCTACACCCTTCAAATGTTGACGAATATAAAGATATCGGTGTTCTAATAAACTCCTCACTTAAACCATCTTCAGAGAGTCTAAAGGCAGCTAGACGCGCGACACAGGTGTTGTTTGTGATTAGACGGGGTTTCGTCCACATCGACAATGAAAACTTCAGAAAAACGTGCGGAACTTATGAACGGAATGAAACCAGTTTGACTTAATTTGATTTATTTTCTCTTAATTGCAGGCAACTCCGCGGTCACCTCATCCAAACGTACCGAATTGTTAGAGGCCGTGATTACGCCCTAGAATTTGATGAATTCTTTGAATTGGCTCGGACGGATCATCTGCGGAGTCATCCCTTTAAACTGCATGGGAAACCGGCCCATACGGACGTTTGACGG